GGAGGAAATTGTATTTATTTATATATTTATCTATTTATTTTTCAAATTTGTCACTGCCTATCTCATTGCAGAGCGACTCTGGGTGGTTTACATTAAAAAAGAATAAATATTGATTAAAATAAAAGAAATATTAATGAATGAATTAAAATACTCTGGATTGCAACATGAATTTACTACCAGGTGATCTGAAGTCTGTGTAGGCATAACTCAGCAAGCTTATTTATTTATTTTATTTATTTATATATCACATTGATATAGCTGCCCATCTCACATAACCGACTCCGGGCAACGTACAACAATTGAATAACACAACAAACAGATAAAAACAATAATTATAAAAGATAAAAAGGGGTTATTAAAATACAACATCATCAAAAAGTTTAAACATTTTAAATGTTAATATATAAATTAAAATTTTAAAGAAATTTCAAGAAGAGCTGGAATATTTAACCATTCCTTGCTCCCATGAACCCAGGATGAAGGCTGCTGAATCTACAAATTAAAAGCAAGGAAAGGATGGAGAGAGAGAGAGAGAGAGAGAGAGAGAGATTTGCATGACAAAGCCCTGATTAAAGTACAAGAGGAGCTGACTTGCAGACACTGAAAAATACATGGTTTCCCCACCAATGCTGAAAGTTTTGATACTTTGAATTTTGGGGAAAATGCTTCTGCTTTGCTTTCACTATCCCTTGATCAGGACTTGGAAATGGATGATATCTACTGTATAGTCTCAGAACTCAGAATTTGGCAGGGTATGAGTACAAATCATTTTTACATGCTGATGATAATTTAGCAATTTTGGATAAGTATTCCATTTCTCCACCTAATTTTATACAGCTAGTACAATATTTTGGAAAGCCTGCTGGCTAAAAAATCGACTGGAATCAGTCTTGTTTGCTTTCTATAGGCCCTGATACATCAGCACAGTTTGATGGTTGGGTTTTGCCATTTCTACTGAGTCTATCAATTACTTGGGACTCTATATCCCCAGAAGGATTTCTAAATATGTGGAAATAAAAATGTTGAAACTTTTAGAAAAGACTGAGTTGGATTTAAATAGATGGTTTAAAATCCCATTAGGTGATTTTAAGAGACAAAATTAATGTTATTAACACGAACATTGTCCCTTGTTTAATTTATGCCCTTAGAGGCATCCCAGTGATAATACCAAATCAATCTTTTTGTCAGACTGATCGGTCATTCAGGAAAATTTATTTGGGATAATAGTCCACCAGGGCTTTCATTAGCTAAATTGAACTACCATTTGAAGTGTGGGAGGCTTCAACTGATCGGACTTGCAAAAGTATCCCCAGGCTTATATGTTAGCAGCCATCAAGATGTGGGATGAAAATTTAGTAGAACATTATCTCATCTGGGTTTGTTGGAAAGTTACGATTCATTCCCATTATGGTTATGAGGAAAATACAACTTTGGGTGAAAGTAGTAGAAGCTACTACTGTGCAAGCTGGCTGTAAAGAATTTATCCAACTGGTGTGAACTGGGGTAATTGCAAAAAGCCTCATCTCAAAGCCTTATCGTGAACATCCCAATATACAAGGCACCTGTCTCGCAGTTCTTCCTGGCATTTGGCACCTTGACGAACTTGTTACTTCCTCTTAGTAAGGCTATTGTCTTCCTTGAAGATAGCAGATAAGAAGAGGGGCAAATACACAAAGTATCTGTCTCGATTGAGATAAGAAGGGGGGCAGAAAGTAACTTGAGATCCATTGCTTACTGATGTATGCCTGCATCATCACATGAATATGTATGCATTCTTTTCCCTTCCCCTTCTTGTAGAAATATATAAATATCAGGGTATCCATTGTGCGTACAGGGGAGTGTCTCCCACTAACCTTTAGTGGGGTCCCCTCCAGTGCACACTGTCTAACAAACACTGCAGTGAGGCCTTGATTATTTTGCATTTGAGACCTGTGTTTTGATTCCACACGCTCATGGAATGTTCCTGGAGCAACATACATGTCTTATTTCTAGGAGTGTGGTCTCCAAGAAATCTTTGGGCCATATTGGCGTGTTGCTTGGGATTTTATCATGACACTCATGAATATTTAACCATGTATACTGCAGATTAGCACTTGGTAGGGTAGCAATGCAAACCTTGGAGAAGGTATTCAGATACCATGATGCAGCTAGTATTGATGCTTTTAACTTTGGTATAGCAGAAGACTCTCGAGAATCCAATGGATAGCCAAGAAAACAAACAGATGGATCCTAGGACAAATCAATTCAGAGTTCTCACTCAAGGTAGAAATGACTAGGCTGAAATTATCATCCTTTGGACACGTGGTTCAAAGACCTAGCTCTCTTGAGAAGTCTATGGTTTGGGGAAAGGTGGAAGACAAGTTAACGTGGATAGCCAGCAGCAAGGTGGCTTATTCATATTCAGTGACAAGGACAATAGGTGGAGTGTGGGAAGACCTGACCATGTTGGGAACAGATCATCCTGGAGAATTCTACCCATGGGATTGCTAACAGTTGACACTGATGTGATGGCATGTAATTCAGCAATCAAAAATATGACAGAGAAGAGGGACAGGTTCCAGTCAGGAACCTGGAACCCTTCAGCAGCAACATCAAGGTGGACTCCCTGGCAGGCATGCCATCCCCTTCCCTGGTTTGCTGTAGGCTGTGAGTCAATCAGAGGCGGTCAGACTGCTCTGTTTATCCCTGTATCTTATAAAATATACCTTGCCTCCTAGGAAACAGAATTTTTATGCTTGTTCCCATGACACTATCTTCATCTCACCCATGCCAACAAGTGAGACATCTTTAAGCCACCCTTTATTGTAGGATCGTACAAGATCCAACAGTTTGGGGTGAGGTAACATCAGTATGCCAATGATACCCAGCTTTATATCTCCATCTTGGGCTGCCTCTGTGATGCCATTGACGTCCTGCCTCAGTGCCTGGAGGCTTAGGGGCCAGGATGGGGTTCAATGGGCTTTGGCTCAACCCAAGCAAGACTAAGTGGCTTTGAGTGCTTGGGCTTACCAGGGTCAAGGGTTGTCCGCCTCTGGTCCTGGATGGAGCGTCACTGCTTCAGATGAACCCGGTGCACAATCTGGGGGTCCTTTTGGATTCACAGCTCCTGCTGGAAGAACAGGTGGTAATGTGGCTAAGAGGGCCTTTGCACACCTTTGGGTTGTATGCCAGTTGTGCCCATTCCTGGACCAGGATCCTCTGCTCACTGTCACTCATGCCCTTGTGACCTCCCATTTGGACTACTGCAAGACAATCTACATGGGGCTGTCCTTGAAAAGCATTTGGAAGCTTCAGCTGGTGCAGAATGTAGCTGCATGGGTTATAAATGGTGTCGGTTATTTGGCACATGTAACACCACTGCTTCATGGACTGCATTGGTTGCCGGTGTGTTTCCTGGTGCAATTCAAGGTGCTTGTTGTCACCTTTAAAGCCTTTGATGGCTTTCAGCCGGGATACCTGAGGGACCAACTTCTCACAGTTGTTTCTTTCCATCCAATCCAATCTGGTAGGACAGGCATGTTCCAGGTCACGTCAGCCAAGGAATGTCACCTGGCAGGTACTAGGAGATGTGCCTTCTCTGCCGTAGTACCTGCCCTCTGGAACATCCTCACGTCTGCGATTAGGGTGGTCTCCACCATGTTTGCCTTTCAGAAGGCCTTGAAGACCTAGTTATGTGCCAGGCCTGGGATACTGAGTGTGTGAAGGGCCCCGTTTCCTGGTTAGGTTGACACCGATGGATTGTAATATCTCTTGGCTGCTATTTGTGTTTAATTTATTATTTGTATTGTGTTTTAACTGTGAAATTCTCTTTATGATTGTTCGCCGCCCACAATCACTGGTTTCAGATGGGCAGCTATGCAAATTGAATAAATAAATAATTTTTTAAAAAACAGAGTTCATCTGTAAAATCTGTTACATTCTGTCATCAGCTATCTTGAAAGGACATCTGAAGACCAGTCCTGATTGAGAAGAGGCAAGAATGGCTGGATAAAGTTTCGTCTTCTTTTATATTAAGAACATAAAAATTAGCATAAGCATGTCTTTTGAAATAAGGAGATAGCCAATTATTTTCTACAATCTCTGCCTGAATATCTATTTCTAAATCTTATTACAAACATAAGATTTAGAAATAGATCGATAGATTCTGCAGAAGGGAAAATGCAGCAACGTGACAGACACTCCACCCATCTGTGTACACTTGTGAAGTCAATGCATGAACCAAAGGGTGGGGCTTCATTAGCACTGCCATGACTGCTATCTTGACTTTTCTGAGCCTTCCTGAGCAGGTCACTGTTCCTATGGATCACATTCAATGAGTTTTCTATGAGTTTTCTATCACCTTGGGCTTCTATGAACTCCTCTATTCATAAATAGTATTTGGTATGTATCTCATTCGATGGGTTCTTTATTGGGCCAGTATCTACACTTTCTCTATCCTTTTCTTCCTCTCCCCCTTTTTCTTTTATTGGAATGTGAATAGCCCACCTGGAGGAAATCTCAGGGCTCAGCTATCCTTCCCCTTAGCCATAGTGGGAGGAGGACCAACAATAGCAAAGGATCAAGATGGTGATGGCAGATACATCCCATACAAAAGGCTCCAATTGCACAGTTGCCACAGCCATCTTGCCGTTGTGACCTCCCAGGCAGACACAGCTAATCAGCCCCACTCACAACTGTTCAGGGAGGAGAAGCACAACTCTTTTGTCCTCAGTCTGAGCCCTGCTCCCCTTTTACCCTTCCAGACTTGTCTGGCTTGGTTGCTGGCTGGTGTCTTCTAGGCTCTACAACCAGGGATTGGTTGCCTTTGGCCCAAGCTGCCCTTGGGACTTGGGGGTCTCTCAGCCTCAGGTTGGCAGTTGGTGGTTGGTGCATCTCTTGAAGTTGGTGTGGCTGCGGGGAGCTGCCTTTCCGCTCAGTCGGTAGCCACATTCCGCTCAGTCGGTAGCCACATTCCGCTCAGTCGGTAGCCACATTCCGCTCAGTCGGTAGCCACATTCCGCTCAGTCGGTAGCCACATTCCGCTCAGTCGGTAGCCTCAGCAACCAGCCACTCAGCTGGCTGCACTTCTGAAGGAACTCTGGCTTTTCCTCCACCTTCAGCTGCCCACTGCTCACTGCTTTGGCAGTGAGTCCCCAGCCAGCTTTGTCCTGGGCATCTCTGGCTTTGCTCAGCCGACATCGGCAACTTTTGCTGCAGCATTGGCCTTTCTCTTTCTCTCCAACAGACCCAGAATGCACCATCTCCTACTGACACACCCATGCGGAGCTCCAGATGGCTTCTCTTCTTGGGTTGGGATCAGCTAATTCAGCTGATGGAAACTCTTGGAGGAAAATAAATCAAGTCACCCAACCTGCCTAAAATTCAATCTGGGTTCAACAAAATTCTCCCAAGGTCCCTGAACACTTAGTATTTTCACTAGTTTTACTGAAAATGTCAATCGTTATTGCTTAAGTGCTGAACTGAGTGTGATGCCTACTAACAGGCAGGTGTGCCCCTTCAGTGAGGATCTCAGCTGAAGACCTTTACAAAGCCTGTGGTGCTCCAAGGGCCTGACCCCAGATTGGCATCAAGGGAAGAAGCGGAAATCTGGATATGGCCATGTTACACTTTTTCCCGAGGTTTTTATGAGGGATGGGGGTGGAAGAAGGAACTGGGCACTGAAATCAGTAGGACTTTTATACCTCCCCAATACTACCGCTCAACAGCTTGAGAAAAAAATGAATCCTGCTGTATATCTACTGGCCCCACAAACTGCGCATTACGGCACCTCTTAAGTGAATGAGTTTATTCACAGGTAACAGATTTTTGTTTGCTTCATTTGTGGAACTTGTGATGATTTAGAAGATCTGGTCTTCAAGGAAAACTTTCCTCACAGTGGAAAATTCTGTCTGTGGCCTCTTGAAACATCATCAGATAGAACTGGAATTGGTTTTTTGTTTTTTTGTTTTTTGCATAGTTTTATAAATAGGATCTTAAGGTATAACTGTGGAAAAAAAAATCCCACGTAATGTGTCTTTCCCCAGCATGAATCTTCTGGTGTTCTAACAGGAGAAGTAAAACATTTTGTCCCATCAGGACACATCTTTTCTGTGTGGATTCTCTGACGACCCACAAGCTTGTTCACCGAGATATTTTCCACAGACAAAACATTTCTGTGGTCTCTCTGCAGTTGTATTTTCTTCCAGATTAAGAAGTTTGGGCTGAAAGAAAAACTTTCCTGTATTCAATGCCTCTCAAGGGTTAGGGGCACCCCAATAGAGTCTTTGCTGTTTAGGAAGGTGAATGTTTTGAGAAAAAACTTTTCCCCACCCAAGGATGGATCAGGAATTTCTACCATGTGGTCTATGTTGTGTTTTGCAAATAGGGGGTACCAACATTCTTTGCCACTGTTCTTGAAATGTCTCCCTTTTGTAGACCCTATAATTCACTCAAGCTGACTGGGGATAAAACTGCCTCCATTATTCCAATCTCTGTAATTAATTTACATAGAATTGACTCTGAGACTTACTTACTTACTTATTTATTTATTTATGCAATTTCTATAGCTGCCCATCTCAATCCAAGTGCCTTTTGGATTGTTCTTGCAAAAAAAAACAACAACAGTATTTAAATTAATGGAAACTCATACCATAATAAACTGACCAGACTTTTAGCTGGCCAAAAATTCTTGATTGCTACAAGAGCGTATTGTGGGTTATCTTTGAAAATGACCTGGTCCTCTTTCTGTCCCCACAGAAGGCCATTCTTCCAAAACTATTACCTAATTCAAAAAAACAAAAGTTAGGAGTAACAATTGGAATTGTCTACATGATGTGTGAAAAAAGAGGGAAAAAGAAAAAAATTGCAGGAGCATTTAACTGAGGCAAAGAATATAATCATCCAGGGAGAGGAATGAAAATTCAACCCACAAAAAACAGGAAATCAAACGAAACCAAACTGAAACCAAATCAGTCCTTAGTAACAGACTTCCTTCTTGACTAAAAATGAGATCAAGCAAAGCTGTTATATACATGTTTTTTTCTAAATTACTTTGCTAAAATCCATTAATGTCAGTAATTGTTTATGATTCTAACTGAAGAGACTGTTATAAGATAATATAAGGATTTAAAAGAAAATGAGCTTTGCTATATCAGTTTCATTTATCAGTCATATCTGAAATCTCACATGGGAGAAAGAAAGAGTTTTTAGAACACATAAAAAGGAATTTAGTTCTAAGCTATCCGATATCACCAGTAAGTGGTACAAAAAATAACCACCCAAATCAGAAGCCCTCCTAGTTTTTTATCATCAGATGCTCCTTGGTGTTCATGTCAGGTCTCAGGATAATGATGTAGCATTTGGGGACAAAGATGCAGC